TAGGTGAAGCTGGATCACGAATGATTCGCGCGAACATAGATGCATTTATGTAGATCGGGGGTGCATTCCCTTAAAAAAAAAACATAATCCACTGCGTCTTTACACACACTGCCAACACACATTTCAGTTCAAACAACTTGTAAAAGTGCATGTGTATGACCCCTTTAATATTTTATCCAAGGCATGAAAATTTACTGCATAACAGTACATACTGTACATAAAGCTTTCTGAAGTGCAGAAGGAAATCCATTGAGCTGCTTTCTCAGCATTTGGAAGTCACTCGTCTCGCACCACATACTCTACACGCTTCAGCTATTTTCTACGAATTGGTTTTGTAAGGTGCAGAGCAGCCAAGAAACCATTATTGCGGAACGGCAACAAGCAGAGGAAATTACAGTATGTGGGTCCTTTTACCTTTGAGTAACAACCAGTGCCAGAAAGCCCTTTGAAGCAATGAGTGCAAATTTTAAACGGTTGGTTAAGATGACGCCTTCTGTAAAGCAGGCACTGCCATTAAATATACAGCAGGTGTATTATAACATAGCCGATATTGTGTTAGATCATTGGACAGGACAAGAATAAATCATATTATATAGTGTTTTATAAATAATAATAGCAAAAACATGACATTCTTTAGTTTTCAAATACCTTGTGCATAAAAAAGCACTGAATAGCAGATACATCATTAAAAATATGTTCATAATATTTGTAATTTTAACATTTATAATTGTAATATTATATATATATATATATATACAAGATATATAATAAGATGTGGTTGTCTATTATGCAAGCATACATTTTTTTCCATCAGTTTAAGTTTTGTACATGACTTTATTGTGATATTTTGATCAACTAAATATTTACGTATGACAATGATTTCACCCCTTTAATTAATGTGCAATATGTTAAACTGATGATTACAACTCACCATGTTACAACACTCACTCTGTCCCCTACATATGCAAACAGCATTTTGTTTTTTTTTTCTTTTAAGCTCGTTTGATTTGTTTCCTCATTTTTCCTCGACGGCCTTGATGTGAAGTTGGTCCATGATCAATCTGATTAATGGTCCCTTTAAGAGATCCTCTCCGGCCTGTTAATTCATCTTTCACTGCCTGAACACAAAAAAGGCATAAAATAGCATAAAATAAAATATGGCTGTTATCCTGTTTCTCTTAATTTCATCTGAGTGTATGTGGATAGAATTAGAGAATCAATATCCTCATGCCATTAATCTGTGCATTCACTAATAGGACAAAAAAAAAAAAACAGCCGATAAAGGCTATGATTAAATGTCTATGATGGAAGTTTTTCATCATTCTCATTTATCACAACAGGAAATGGTCCAGTTGGAAGAAAAAAGTTCATATTGTACATGTATTCAGTTCCTAGAATAATAATTATCACTGTCCATGAATAAATCAGTTACAAGTGCTGGCTTGGCCACAATTAATGATGGAATCATTGTATGGTCACTGGAATACTGATAAGTGATATACTGTATCAAAAAAGCTGCTTTGTGGACAGATTATGTAGAATAATATATCGACTTTGACAGAACCTGAGAGCATGTTGGAAGTTGCATCATAACCATAGAGCATGGAATATTAATTATGCATTATTGCCAATTAAGTTTCATAAAATGAGATTGTGAAACTGATTGGTAAAACTCTCACCAACTGTCACTGTATAGTGGCAAACCATTTAGACTAAGTTTATATGAAAAGCCTCCACGTGTCCATTTTTAGCAGTCTAAATTACAAGGGGCGGCTTTTAGAAATCAATTGATGGTGCTGAAATGATTATGCAATGCACACCTGCAATGCAAAAATCAGCTCCCTTTCCTGGTGTTATACTGCCACTGTGTGGTCAGAAGTCTGGGACGTATTCTGTAAATTCAATTAAATGCCTGTTATACAAATCAGAGTTAAATGAGCATGTCATACCTGTTTGACCTCTCGTTTTTCCACTCTTGGACTGGATGGAGGATCTAAGAAGCTTCCAAGCCCATGACATTGGAGACGTCGTGGGACAGGGGATGTCCGTTTTTCTGTAGAGGAAGCTAAGAGGATTGGTTATTAAATCAGTGGTTTGATTTATACCCATGGATCAGAGAATATCAAGGACAAGGAGTACCACTTACAAATAAAAGGAGGAATCAACTGTCAATTTAAAAATTACATTTACATTCATACATGTATTCAATTGAATAAATAAATCATTTTTAAAAACATTCAAATAATAAAATCAAATAAAAATATTCAAGTGTTTATTTATTATTTAAAATCTTAGTTAAATTAAAAAAAAAGATGTTGCATTAATAATGATTAATTATTATATATTAAGTTTAAATGCAACTTTTATATGACTTTTTTTAAACATCAGCCAGTTCCTTTTCTTAATACATTTGTCAGTTGAATTAAAAAATTGGAAAGTCGGACAACCAGTGGCAACCATTGTTTATTGATTGTTACATTTACCTACACTTTTAAATGTTAATTATATGAATAGCTTTACATAAATCTATTGACTGTACTGGTCAATCTTAAAACATATTTATTCATTTATTTATATATTTTTTAATTATTTTAATGCATTGATAATTGTTCCCTTCATTTTATTTTTTGTGGCACTTGTTCATCACAATAACTTTGAATGTTCCCCTAAAATTTAGCAACTAAATGTGTCTAAATACTTTTTAACATTTTTTTTTTTAAGCATATGCAATGTTTAATTATCTAAAAAAACAAACAAACTTTTTGTAAAATGTTTTGCTTGAATGTGTGTGTGTGTGTGTGTGTGTGTGTGTGTGTGTGTGTGTGTGTGTGTGTGAGCTGATGATGAGCTATCATTCTTTAAAGTAAATAAAAGTAGATACTTGATTCTTTAAAGTTTATACTTTTTAGGCCACAGTACAATTATACCTCGTGTGACAGGAGAAACCTGCTCTAAAGCAGGAAGCAGCCCGGTTGAAGCCCGTCGAGTTTCCAACGCCTGTTTCCGCCAACTGCCCAGCTTACAGTGACCCACCCGGTCTGAGGTGGTCCGGAAACACACTGCTTCTTTTGTGCTGGTGATTCTGAACTCACTGGAGGACCGGTGTCTGGACTGATGAGAGAGACTGAGCTGCTGGGTGGATTGGGAGCCAATAGGATTCTGGAGCTGACGGGATCGCTGGGAGAGATGGATGAGGCTGAGGTCCATATCCACGATGGAGCTTTTAAGGGCACTTAAGGAACAGGCCTGGTAGGGTTCTCGATCATCTGCTAAGAGGTCAGCATGTTGGAGATGAGCCGGGAGGTTGTGCATGCTATCCGTGAGGGCGCAGGAAGTGAGGATTTCTGGCTGGTCTACGGCGTCCTCAGGGTCACGGCAGAAGTTTTCTTGGCATTCCTCCACCCGTGAGGGAGACAACGCCCACTTGACACAAGACCAAAAGTCAAAGATCAGTCAAAGACTTTGTTAACAGAGGCAAAACGATTTTTGGTGTATCCATCTGTTTAGATACAGTAAGTATTATTTATTTACACTAAGTATGTAAATAGATAGGTAAACAGACAGACAGATAGATAGATGATAGATATTTTTATGAATTTAAATTTTATTCTTTTAGAATATTTTAATATCATAAGGAATACTGTAAATGAATAAAATAAATAAAAACTGGTGTTCATAATAAATAAATAAATACATTTATTTTATAATCCTGATCAAAATCGCATTATTGATGCTGCAATATTTTTATTTTTTTATTATTATTATTATTTATTTATGACATTTTTTTTACGGTATGTGGTCATTAAGATTTCACTCACCCTTAACGGCTTCAGCTCCAGAAAGCTGCAGGTTCTTGACACTTTAGAATCCCGCAGGCGAACAAACTCTGTTTTTGGCTCACTGGGTGAAAAGATCCACTCTTCAGTCTCAGACAGATTCTTGGGCTTAATGCTAACAGCATCATCCACAGTTTTATTGTAAGTAAGCTTCTCTGTGGGGAGAAAAAATATATATATAGTGATCAATGTCATCCCACATGCTCAATGAGGCACTTCTAAACCAGGGGGTTTCAAACTGGGGTCCGTGACACAAAGCCAGGGGGTCCGCAAAATAATTTGCTATACCGTATTTTCCGGACTGCAACTCGCATTTTTTATCTTCTGAAACATGCTATGATTTATATTCCAAAGTGACTTATATAATGCATTAAATGTCAAATACAAGCTGTGTCTCATTTAGACGGCTGCGCCCTCCGGAGGTCTCATTTCAGAAAAGCAAGTAGGACACTCCGAATGCGACCTTCTTTCACAGGAATTCGGAGGATGCATGAGGTGTATCCTTCGCTGCTACAGATAACCCACAATTCTTTGCGTCGCCGTAAACAACCGTTGTTAATTTGAAAAATGCCGATGCCAGCAGATGTACACACAAGCGCAGATGTGGTGTTTACAACTTACCTTAAATCGCCTCGGTAAAAACGGATAAACTTTGTTTTTAATATCCTCCTCCTTTTTTTTTTCTAACAGATGTCTGCTGTACGTACGCTGCAGCTCCTCAAACATTGAACAAAATAAAACAAGTAAAAGCATTTTTTTTTTTCAAATTACTTTCCAAATTTAGAAATCATTTTCCTTCATTTAAGTAGTGTGAGAGCGCAACGATGTGTAAATGTGTTGGCATAGCAACGTGATACTTCCTGTTTCCTATTCCACCTGTCCTACGAAGGCCGTCTCGTTTAATTCTAGGTTGAGGACAAATTCTAGGTTGAGGACACTTCGTATATGCATCCTACAGAGGATGCGACCTCCAGAGGATTCGACCTCCGGAGGGCGCAGCCTTCTAAATGAGATTGCTAACACACTATAACTGATTCATTTAGCCCAATTTTCCAAACCATTCATACAGTTCTCGAAACAAAGGCACATTTCTCAAAACTTTTAACGCATTTCACCTGTTTGCACACGTTCCAATTTGCTCAGTGTTTTCTGCAAAACTCTACACAAAAACGCCATCACTTTTCACAGGTTTAACCATGTTCTCATTCAGAAAACACAAACACACATGCTGTGTCTCATTTAGAAGGCTGCGCCCTCCGGAGGTCGAATCCTCTGGAGGTCGCATCCTCTGTAGGATGCATATACGAAGTGTCCTCAATTAATATAAATATTCTATGTACAGTAAATACTCTAGCACATGTTATACACCCTCAAACTCATTACTGTTGAATTTATTTGTAGCCAAGTATGTACTGTATTTGTGCAGAACTGAGAGACGACTGTCTAGGGGAGGCAGAGAAGTCTTTTGTCAGAAGACTTGGAAACTGCTATAACAAATAAGGATACTACCAATACTGTAATGCAAATTGGCAGAGAATGCTGAATGAATGAATGAATTTATTTACAGTATTTATTTATTCATTCATTATTTATTTATTTCTGTAAAGATTCAGTTTTTTGGTCTTTGAACTTTTCTCTTGTAGTGCTTTTCAAGATCTCATGACAGTAAACTTTTCTTAAAGTTTATTGCTGAATTTTACTGTATCTGCACCCCTCTATTTATGTCGTATACTGTAACAGTCATTGACTAGCAAAAGGATTTCTATTTCCCAAAAGGAGGTTTTTGTAACATTGTTTTGAACTGATCTCACTAGTGCTCTCTAGGCAGGAAAATTGTTTGTGTATTTGGCAGGTTTGTGTGTCATCTGAAGCCAAAGTTCGAGTCTGACAAACAGTGTTGGGGAAAGTTACTTTTAAAAGTAATGCATTACAATAGCTAAGAACTTCATTTGGACAACTTTAAACGTGATTTTCTCAATATTTTGATTTTTTTTTTGCACCCTCAGATTCCAGATTTTCAAATAGTTGTATCTCGACCAAATATTGTCCTATCAAACCATACGTCAATTGAAAGCTTATTTATTCAGCTTTCAGATGATGTATAAATCTCAATTTTGAAAAATTGACCCTTATGACTGGTTTTGTGGTCCAGGGTCACCACAAATATAGTAACATGAAATCATCCCGAAAAAAATGTATATCATGATTTTCTGACCATTTTAACTGTCATGTAAAATGACCTAGTGTTTACTTTCATGTGACACATTTTTATAGCGAGTGACTAGCATTTCATTAAAGTTAATGTTCATATTTGTTTATAAACCCATCTGTTCAGGTTCTATAAAAACAGAGCGTTTGATGTCAGATGAATAGTGGCTCACCTCCTCTCTGCATGTGGAGCTTCTACTGCGTTGCCCCCATGTGAGATGACTCCAGATACCACACTAGGGAAGATCTTCTCTATAACTTTATAAAAGATGTGTTATTACTGTGGAGCATATCATAACAGTATGGAAGACTGTTTCCACCACAAGATAAAAAATAAAAAAGGTCTCACAGTTCTGAGAAAAATGTCAAAATTGTAAGATATAAACTTAGTATTCTGAGTTTTTTTCTCACAATTCTTGAGTTTATATCACACATTTCTGTCTCTTTCTCTGTCTCACAAGATATATTCTTAGAACTGCAAGATGTTAACTGCAAGTGATGCAAAGTGATGTCGCAACTGAAGGATACTGTATAAATTAAATTCCAAGAAATCGGAATTGTGAGATATAAATGCGCAATTGCGAGACAAAAGACTGCAAAAGTCACAATTAATTTTATTTTTTTATTATGTGGCAGAAATAAAAACACAGAATTGCTTGATGTAAACTCATAATTTATAGAAAAAAGTCAGAATTGCTTGATGTAAACTGAGAATTGCAAGAAAAAAGTCAGAATTGCATGATGTAAACTCAGAATTTAGAGGAAAAAAGTCAGAATGGCATGATTTAAATCATTTTTTAAAGAAAAAAACAGTCAGAAAGAGAACAGTCAGAATTGTGAGATGTAAATTGCAAGAAAAAAAACTGATATGTAAACTCATAATTTAGTGAAAAAAAATAAGAATTGCTTGATGTAAACTCAGAATTGTGAGAAAAAAAAAGTCAGAATTGCATGATGTAAAAGAATTTAGAGAAAAAAGTCTGAATTGCGTGATGTAAACTCAAAATTGTGAGAAAAAAGTCAGAATTGCGAGATGTAAACTAGGAATTTAGAGAAAAAAATAAGAATTGTGTAATGTAAACTTTTCTCTGAGAAAAAAAAAATTGAGAGAATTGTGAGGAAAAATGTCAGATTTCTGAGTTTATTAGGCTATCTCATAATTCAGATTTTGAATCTGAATGATGAAATAAAGTGTCTCAGTTACCTTTTTACATTTTATCCCTTGGCAGAAACGGCCTTCCATATTACAGAATCACTACTAAAGAACAATTGGATTCAGCAGTCAACAATCTCACCCACACTTTCCCTGCTCAGACTGTTGCTGGATAGCGCCTCTGTGGCGCCGTCTAAAGTGAGGGTTAGATCGGGACAGCCAGGGAACATGTCTGCAGGAGTTTTGTCCTCATCTTGGACGTGACTTTCCTCTTCTTCAGGCACAGCAGAAGAGTTCTGCTTCAGGAGGATGGGTTCCTGTGCAGATGGGGCTTCAGAGCAGACAGCCGGTGGTGAAGAGCGGGGAGATTTGAAGAAGCCAACAGATTCCATGCTGTCAGGAGATGTGGAGGGAGAGTAGAACACTGGTGAATCATTCATGTCCTCCTGTATGAATGGAAGGATAGAAAAATTATGACTAGCTTGATGGATAGATGGATGGATGTTGCATTCATTAAATCAGTAAATGAACATGGCTGTATCTGTGAGTCAGTGCACCTCTGGCTGCAGAGGGAGGTCTTCCTCACACTCTTCCTCAACAGCTCTTTGCTTGAACTTATAATGAATGTCAACTGATGTGCTGTTAGCAGCAACATGACATAAGGCCTGAGATGAGAGTTGTGCACTATTCTCACTATTCTCCAGGTACTTTGGCAGCAGCAGCACCACCCTAAAAATCAGAAAATAAATAACAGTAAATTAAATCAACTTTTACAAACAGTATACTACTGTTCATTTTTTTTTAAGCAATGACAGTACAGTACAGTACATTGTTACAGTGACAGTAAAGTACAAAGTCACATGAGGATTCTATTTCAGTTTTTTACTTTCTATTAATCAAATAGTTCTGACATTTTTTTTATCAGTTTCCATAAAAAAATATTAAGCAGCAACACTGCATAATAATTAAACACATGATGATGATGATGATAATAATAATAATAATAATAAAGAATATTATTAATTATTATAAGTCAATTATTCATATTATGTCAAAATATTAGAATTTCTGAATGATTGTGTAACACTGAAGTGACAGTAAAGTACAAAGTCACATGAGGATTCTATTTCAGTTTTTTACTTTCTATTAATCAAATAGTTCTGACATTTTTTTTATCAGTTTCCATAAAAAAATATTAAGCAGCAACACTGCATAATAATTAAACACATGATGATGATGATGATGATAATAATAATAATAATAAAGAATATTATTAATTATTATAAGTCAATTATTAATATTATAAGTCAAAATATTAGAATTTCTGAATGATTGTGTAACACTGAAGATGGCTGCTTAAAATTCAGCTTTGTCATCACAGGAATAAATTACATTTCAAAATATCTTCAAATATAAAACGGAAAATAAATATTTGACAACATTACTGTTTTTGTTTTTTTTGTATTTATTATTTTATTTTTGATTAAATAAATGCATCCTTAATGAGCATAAGACACTTATTTAAAAAAAAAAAGTTAATGAAAGGTGAGCCTTTTTCTTACCTTCTTTTCTTTGGTAATGGACATATTTCAGAAATAGATTGCCTGAGTATCTTGACAAAATCTCCTGGCGTCAGTGGGTCATCCATGCGGTACAGCCATGCAGACAGTGGACGAGGAGTTTGTCCTTCACCTCCATCATCCAGTCAAACCACATAGTTTACATAGAATGTGAGAACTATATAATTTCAGCTAACATGCTACTGTATGTTTGAGATGAATGTAGTAGTTTACCTGCTTCAGTTCTTACTGGTGGTTGACCTACTGTTTCTTGCTTCAGTATCTGTGCTTCATTGGGCTGCATATTTTGGCTTTCTATCAGCTGGAGAAGAGCCAAACCCTGCCACAAAAAAAAAGATGGATGGCAAAGAACAAATTTGTTTATACCATCATTTACCAAAATCAGAGTTTACCAGTTATCCCATGCAGGGTGAAAATCATTAGAGTATCTAGAATCACCTTCCACAGAGAGGCCAACATATTACTACAAATCCCATGATTCTCACAGACATGAATGAAATGTTTGAACAGGTGAACATCTTTAGTTTGGAGTCCTCTAATCAGTGCCCAGGCCTCAGAGATACATCTGAAACATAAAGCATAACCCATAATAATAACTGTAGACTCCAATGTGCGACAATTACAAAAACACCAAAGGAACTTAGGTTCCTAAGAATCATTGTGATTTACTTGTTGTGTATTAACACATCCACACAGAGTTTGATGTCTTGAATGCTCTCTGTGACTGGTGTGATGCTGTAGAGATACTTCAGTGCTGCTCGATTCTCTCCTGTCTTCAATAAGGTCCTCAGAACAGCACAATGGTGCCATGGCAGTGTTGGAGGACAAGCTCTTGGGCTCAATAAGACATTCATTGAGTCCTGGGAATAACAATGTTCAGAGCTCAATGGGTTTAGACCAATGTAATATGATACCATACAATTTCAGTGATGGTTTTGAAAACATCTCACTGTTACTAATCCGTGATCTAGAAGCCAGAATCCACAGATCTGTTGGGAAAATGCAGATGGAATACTGAAGACATGGCAGAATGACTGCAGGAGATCATCCTTACAGTGCAGGAAGTTAGACACATTCAGGACAAAGTACATTATCTGGAGAGGATTTGTTAAAGAGAGTTATCCTCCAACCACAAGAGAGCATTTGTAAATGATGCATATCATTATATAATATATTATAATATACATACTTGTTTAGAAATCATTTTTTCTTGACTTAATTAAGAACAGTTAATTCCAAAGCTGCAGTCTGCTGATGTGAAGAGTGTGTGTGTGTGTGTGTGTGTGTGTGTACACACACACACACACACACACACACACACACATTACCATTCAAATTCAAATATGTGACCCTGGACCACAAAACCTTAAAGGGATAGCTCACCCAAAAATGACAATTCTGTCATCATTTACTCACCCTCATGTCGTTCCAAACCTGTGTGAGTTGCTTTCTTATGTTGAACACAAAACAAGATATTTTGAAGAGTTTTGAAGAACCAAACAGTTGTTGGTCCCCCATTGACTTCCG